TATTTAATTTTTAATTTCAACCAAGACTCAATTTAGATTTCAAAATCAATTAGTGGAAAGAGCACTATGTGAGTGAAACAAAAACAAAGTGAGAAATACCTTCCAAACAGCATGCAAACAGTTTTCAAAAACCTATGTTTCTAGGTGAACACACACTGATCCAATCATAAATCTTCAGTGTAGCCACATATTGTCAGTGTTAGCAATCCCTTGAAAAGACACAAATGGATCACTGCCCACCAGCAATCAAACATGACATTTTTCTTTATATATTAACACTAGAAGAATTCATCACAACAGATATTTATATACCAGAATTTATGTCAACAAGCTAATACATACTTGCTCATTTCAATCTCAGAAATAATGAGATTTCTCAGTGTTCAAAAGAAACATTAAAATAGCCTGAAATGCTGGAAAAGCCACCTCACCTAACCAGGCCAGAGCTGCTAACCTACATTCCTTGACTCTAAGCCTAGCTTTTGGAAGGTGCCAGAGAAATTACACTGGTACAAAATGTTCTGAAGGTTTGATACTAGTTCTGAATGTCTTTTAAAAGGACAACTCAAGGCTACTTTATGCTAAAGGAGTATCTCTGTGACAGTGCAGATTTAGCATTTTTAAGACTCTGAATCAATCCTTAACTCCAAAAGAAAACAAACAAAAGTTAAACAAAAAACCATAAAACTTTATTTGCTGCATAAAGCAAATGTTTTAAAGCAGTGGTTCACACAGGGTGGTGGCAGTGCACGCCTTTAATCCCAACACTCAGAAGGCAGAGGCAGGCGGATCTCTGTGAGTTTGAGGCCAGCCTGGTCTACAAAATGCCTTCCAGGACAGCCAGGACTATTATTACCTGGAGAAACCCTGTCTCAAAAACAAACAAGCAAAAGGACAGGTTCTCAACCTTTCTAAATCTGTGACTATAAAATACAGTTCCTCATGTGGCAACCCCAACCATAAAATTATTTTCATTGTTACTTCATAAATTTAAGTTTGCTACTGTTACGAACTGTAATATAAATACATGGTATTCAGGAGTTCTGATATTTGACCTCTGCGAAAGGGGCATTCCTCCCCCCGTGCCAGGTTGAAAACCACTGCTTTAAAGAAACAAGAACAAGCATGATGTCCTCAGCATATAAAGAAACCATAAGCACTGAAGGATACTAAAGTCAGGGTCCAGAGGATTCTTTTTGCCCCATCCTCTGCATCTTTTCCTTTTTCAACTCCCAGTAGCTATAATGTCAAGCACGTGATTTGTAAATGAAGAAATAAAGGAACCATTATTCTCTTAGGAAACTCATTTTATGCTGGAAAAGAATGCACTAGGCCTCAGCAAGTTACCAACGACCCAATAATACACTGAAAATCCTGCCCTAGAACACAGACAAAATAGTTATAATCCATTATATTATTATCAGATACTTGAAAATCTCTGTCCTCAGTCAGGCTCACTGAATACTCTCTTATTTGACTTGCTTCCTAAATAAGGCTTATTTTACAAAAAAAAGGGGGGGAGGGTAAATTATACACATCTGAGATACTCATATTTCTCAAATACTGGCATTTGTGATTATTTTAAAAATATTTTCTGAATTTGATCTTTTGAACTATTAGGGAAAAAAATCCTAAATTAATTCTAATTTTATACAATAGATCAAATGAATTTCCATGGTAACCAGAACCACAGGAGACATATTTTATTAACATAGAACTTTAAAAAAATCTTCTGAACATTATATACAATCAAAATTATGTTGGTCTTTAAAATACCCATTTCAGAAATCCATGGAGGGCTGGGATGTCATTAAACTGGCAGTTTGCTTACTATGCACAAAGCTCTAGGTTTAATCCCCAGTACTGCATAAACCAGATAATGGTACAGCAGATGTATAATGCAAGCACTTGGGACATAGGGGTGTGAGGAACAGAAACTTAATGTCACTTCAGCTACATAATAAGTTTGAGAGCCATCCAAGGTATATGACATTGTCTCAAATAAATAACCTCCACAGAACACTTGTACCTGAGTATATAAGGTATTTTGCAGGCACTAAAATTATTTAGAGCATCATAGTTTTGTATTCCACCAAGAAAGAAGAAAATACTGTTAGAAACCTGGGTACAGACCTAAAATCTGAGCACTCAAGATGTGGAGGCAAGAGGATTCCAAGTTTGAAGACTGCTAGTTAAACTACGACAAAATATCTTATTACTACAAATTAGGTATTTCAGACTTAGCTGTTTTTCATCAAGTTTGCTGTTACTGTGCTTTCTCTAGACTAGCATGTTTCATTTCAATGATAACAATTTAATGTTGCACAGGCTTGTCTGTAATTGTTGGTTCAAGAATTCCTCCACTACAGTCCCCAACTCGGACTAGAAGTTTGTACCACTATGCTGGGTTTTCCGAAGTGACTTCAGCCAATAAGGAACTTCAGATATCTACTATACCAACAGTGCATAAAGTAACCAACAGCTAGAATGCTAATCCCTACAGCTATGACCAAGTGGACTATCATACAAGGGTGCTGAATGCCCCACCACTACCACCTGGCTGGCAACAGCAGGAATGCACTATTAACTGAGGGAATACATTAGAATTTCAGAGACATCAGAATGTGAATATCAAACAATGGTGGAGTGGTATCCATAATTCTTTAAATGACAGACTCTAAAGCTATGAGAATAAACTTTTAAAAATCAATACAATGTATATGTAACTTCATTAATAAAAATGTAATTAAATAAAATGACTCAGAAGAAATGATTATATCATTCACCTACAGAATTGTTAGATAAAAGGGACCAAACTGTTTTTATTAGCATATGAAAACACAAGATTTCTTACCTGTATAATGATAAGGAGACAGATCCCAGCACCCATTTCCGCAGGGTCCCCGTACATCCCCGTCATGACATACACAATGGCTTGCCCAATGGTAATGATCATACCAAATACTGATAAGAAAAGAATTACATGCTTACAACCAAAGACAAAAACCAACAAAACCAAAGAACTACAAGAAACATCTTTCCCAAAACCATCCTCAAATTTGGAAAATAACTCTTTATTATTGCTCACGTTTCTGGGCTCCATTGAACAGAGCTCTATCTTTGGGTGTATCTCCAACTTCAATGATTTTGGCTCCAGCTAACAACTGCATGATCAAACCAGATGTTACAATTGGGGAAATACCCAATTCCATCAATGTTCCTGTAAAGGAAGGAAAATGAGTAAACAATTTCTATCAATGAATATGTAAAGAAAAGGTCTGGATGAAAATCTGAAATTTATCAATACCCCAGAAACATCCATCATATATGTTGGTACATTTTATAAATGCTGATTCATTGAAAAAAAATAAACCTTCCAAGAAACAGTGAATGCGTAGACTGTGGGAGCCCACGGATGTGGATTTGTTTCACCTTCACCAAAAGTAGGACAGTGCAGACCAATTCTTGCTCCTTCAAGGTTATGACAGGAGGTTTATCCAGGGTGTGGAGGAAGGCTCTGAAATGCTGTAGGATGTGCATGTTATAGCCATGTGCTCATTAGCCCACAGCAGATACAGAGCTTGTAGACAGTCAGCACAACTAAGCCACTGAACATTTGTTCTCAGTGATGTAGCCACTGAGGAACTCAGGTTCCAGGACAGCTCCACACCCATGCCCTAGTTAAGCCCACTACGTCACAAAGTAACACTAAAAACAAGAGGCCTGCAGAGATGGTTCAGCAGTTAAGAATACTGACTGCTCTTCCAGAGGATGTCAGTTTAATTTCCAGCAACCAAATGGTAGCTCACAACTATCTATAACTCCAATTCCAGAGGATCTTGTGCTGGCCTCTGTTGTGGGACAATGCTTTTGCACACTGTAAAGATTTGTCACTCGTATTAGTTTAATAAAACACTGATTGGTCAGTAGCCAGGCAGAAAATATAGGCAGGACAACCAGACTAAGAGAATTCTGGGAAGAGGAAAGCAGAGAGTCAGTCACCTAGCCAGATGCAGAGAATGCCTTACTGAGAAAAGGTACCAAGTCACATGGCTAAACATAGACAAAACTTATGGGTTAATTTAAGTTAAGAGCTACTTAATAATAAGTCTAAGCTAAGAGGCCAGACAGTTTATAATTAATATAAGCCTCTGTGTGTTTCTCTGGGACTGAACAGCTGCAGGATCAAGCAGGACAGACACTTCTTGTCTATTGGCCTCCATGGGCACTAGCTATGCATGTGGTATACAGACATATATCTAAGCAAAACACCCATAAATATAAAAATAAACTAAAGAAAAAAAAGAGAGAGAGAGAAAGAGAGAGACATGAAAATGGGATGGAACATGATGGGAGGATAGGGCTAGTAGTGATGGGGGTGGGGTATTAGTAAGTGTGACGAGAATATATGAAGCAGTTAATGAATTTGGAGATAGGAAAGGAGAGGGTGGTGCCGGTGAGATGACTCAATGATTAAAGGCTTTGTGGCAAGCCTGGCAACATGAGTTCAATCCCTGCAATCCATGCAGAGGTAGGAAAGATCAGCTCCAAAAAGTCTTCTGACCTCCACATGATCACAGTGACACGTGTGAGCATACAAACATACACACACACACACACACAATTTTAATAAGTAAATAAACCAATATTACTCCTATAATCTAAAAAACTACAAAGACCTGCCATTTATTCAAAAATATTTCCCCCAAACATGCATCACCATTTCTGAATGAAATTCAAGAGGCCTCTGGTCCAGGGCATCAGCTCCCTGACACTGAAAATCATGGGAATTTTTTTTTTCGTTTTTTGAGACAGGGTTTCGCTGTAGCTTTGGAGCCTATCCTGGAACTAGCTCTTGTAGACCAGGCTGGCCTCACAGAGATTCGCCTGCCTCTGCCTTCCGAGTGCTGGGATTAAAGGCATGCGCCACCGCCCAGCCAAATCATGGGATTTTATTTTTTTTCTTCTTCTTCTTTTTTTTTTTTTTCCTTTTTCTCAACATATATAGGAAAGTCGAGTGGCAGCTGCAGGCACTGTGCTGGCCAGGGCTGTCAAAGTCTCTCCAGTTACCCTGGCATGCAGTTGGAGACCCCATGGCAAATCATGGGATTTTAATATCGGAAAATTCTTTAGGAAATAGCTCAGTGGGTAAAGAGTTTGTGGCACAAGCTTGAAGTAGAGTTCAGATCTCCAGTACCCACATAAACACCAAGCTGGTGTGGTGGCCCATTTGCAATCCAAACTCTCAGGATACAGACATGGGTTACCTGAAGTAAGTTCTAGAGCACTAGAATTGGCAAGTTCTGGGTTCAAACTGGAGACCCAGTCTCAATACATAAAGTAATCTGGACGTGATGGCACATACCTTTAATCCCAGCAATTGGAACGCAGAGGCAGGAGAATATCTAAGAGTCCCAGACCACCCTATATACAGTAGAGAGTGATCAAGGAAGACACTAGTCAACCTTTGACCTTCACTGTGTACACACACATGTGTATAAACCACATACATTCAAACACACATGCACACACAAAACACATACAATAAACCCACTGCTGTCACTATTACAAGCTGGTTTCTCCTTCTAAGCCATGGGTTTCTGTTCTAGCTCTCCCATATAAAACCACAACTAATGGCAGGAGGGAGGTCAGGAGTGCATACCTCTGTTGGATGCAAGAATAACTCTCATCCAGTAGAAGGGATCTGCAGAATCCGATGACATGATCCCAAACAATGGAATCTGAAATATCACATAAAATGACAGGACACTCTTAATTTAAAATGCACTTGTTTGGCCTACAAAGCATGTTAGTTACTTCTTGTGATTTCTAATGAACAAGCTTCCCTTAAAGTTCTCTAACAAGCACCAGAGATCACTACTTAGTAAATATATATGCCTGTAAATACAGGAAAATATGCCTAACACTACAATATATCTAAAAATAGCAAAGAAGATCAATTTTGTTATTTTTCATCACGATTTAAAAAAAATACCCCTAACATATTAGTGTATGTATTTGTCAAGGCCTGGAACAACTTTGCAAAACTGAGAGTATCCACCAACTAGAATGAGCACAATCCTGATTTAAGACCCAAGGAGATGTATATAACTGGAATAGTATGCAGCCACTGAAAACAATACCAATGAAATTGTAATATTATAAATACTTTCTCAAGGTAAGAAGAAAATGTCAGTTTTCACGTATGACTTTCCCTTCAGGAGAGCATTTGGAAATGGCTACAAACATACTCGACTGTCACAACTTGGTGGAGGAGAGTAATATTGATACCTGATAAACAGACGTCCATACCCAGGACAGCCTGTAGCATGATAAATAAAAACCCAAAGACTGATATTGGGATTCAACCTAAAGGTCAGAAAGACAAAACAGGCAGCCATTGGTTCTTACCTCTACCTCATTCCAAAATGGTGAGCCTGCCTCCAAGAATCCTCAGAATGAGAATGAGTCTAAGAGCTGTCTCCTCCTGTCTTATAGTTCTCTCTAGTGCTGGGATTAAAGGTATGCATCATTGCCGCCCAGTTTCCATGGCAACTGATGTGGCTACTGGGATTAAAAGTGTGTGTCACCAGTGCCTGGTCTGTAAGGCTGATCAGTTTTACTCTCAGATCTTCAGGCAAGGTTTATTTCTTAAAATACAAGTGAAATATCACTAAAACAGCCCCCAGCACACAAGATGCCTGAAATTCAGTAGTACCAGTATTAAGATATCCTGGAATAAAAACTAAAATTCAAAACTGCATACAGTATAAGTGCAAAAATAAGAATACATACAGAAAATACCGGAAAACCAGCAGCTTGAGCGGTAGCTCAGCGGCTAAGAGCGCCTAATGCTTTTGTGCCAGAGGACCCGGGTTCGAGTCCCACCTGGCGCTAATAGCAATCGATAGACTAATCGATCATTATCAATAATCGGGAAAAAAAACCAGAAAACCTTTCCAGTGTTAAAATACTGATAATATCTAAGACAAAAGATTATAATTGATTTTTGTTCCTTATTTTTTTCAGAAATTATCAAATATTCTAGCATAAGACATCATTTTCCACCCAGTTGTTTTGGCAAGGTCACACCAGCAATTCCAACACTTAGAAGACTGAGGCAGAGAGACTGCTTCAAACAACAGCAGGAGGGGGAAAGAAGGAGAAAGAGGAGGAGAAGAGAGGAGGAGGAAGAGAAGAAGAAGAGGAGAAAGGAGGAGGAAGAAGAGGAAGAAGACGAGGTGTAAGAGGAGGAGGAAGAGAAAGAGGAGGAAAAGGAGGAGGAAGAGAAAGAAAAGGAGGAAGAGAAGGAGGAGAAGAATAAGAAGAAAGCGACAACAGAGGGAGGAACTAACTTTCAATTATTATTGCCCATGACAGGCCCTTGTTTAGTTTCCTTACCATACTATGGAGGAACCCAGGGCCTGATACATGCTAAGCAAGTCCTTCCCCACTGGGCAATACCTCCATGCCAACACACACATATAAGACAAAGCAGTTAGTGCAAGCTCCTTCTCAAACATGATAGATTCCTTTCTCAAAAATGCAGGTTCAGGCACAAAGAAAATTACATTGCTAATTTCAAAACTCTATAGCGACTGAGGAGATAGCTCAGTTAAGAGTGCTGTCCACACAGCATGAGGACCTGAATTAAGGTTCCCAGTGTCAAAGGAAAAGAACCATGTGCCAGTGCATGTCTGTGACCACAAGACATGAAGGGGAAGAGGCAAGAGGGTGCCTGTGGCCTGTTGACCAGGCTGTCTAGCTAAGCAGGAAGCCACAGACCTCTATACCTGTACACACGTACACGTACACACACACACACACACACACACATACACACAGAAAAAAGAAAAACTGTAAAACAATTTTAAAAGTTCCCAAATATCCTCATGAAATTTTAAATAACTGAATCTCTGGAATATTTGAACTATTATTAAGTTAGGCGACAGGAACGGTAACTCAGAAGGCACGACTAGTTTGTGCACACTCTGTATCTGTGAGAAGTGAATAAGGAAGTCACTGTGCAGTAACCCACTAGCACTACAGGGACAGCTCCTATCTAAGGCCCCTGAACAGAACCTCTATACTTCTCTGGTGCTATCAGATTGAGTCCTTAAATGTCCAAATAAATCACTAAGTTTATTTTCTGTAAAGTCTTTCTTTTAGCAAACCTGACAAAATATTAATATAATACAGTATTGTGGAAAACCCATATACTCCCTGTCCTAATGGAAACCTGAACTAACCGTATGGAGATATAGAAAATGAGCACTAGAAGTCGTCCAGAGCAGTGAAAGTCAAAGCTAAAGAAGGCATGTCTGGGATGAGACTGCAAGTTGCAGGCCTGGAATGTGGCTTGGTATTTGCCTAGCATGCTCAAGGGTCAGGGTTCATCTCAGTGCTGAAAGTGAACAAGATGGCAAATTGCAGTCACATTACAAATTCCCCCCCTCTGGCACATAATAAAATATAAACATAGAAAAGAATAAAAGCTAATCCAAATTTTAAAAAGCTACAGGAAAAGGAAAAATCTCCAAAGCAACTATGATGTTAGCTTGACTGTTAACTTGGTAGGATTTAGAATGACCTAAGAAACAAGCTCAAATACATCTACAAAAGTATTTCCAGAGACGTTTAACTGAGGAGGGAAGAGCTCTCCTAAAAGTGGGAGAACCACCCCATGCGTTGGGTCAATGGGTCAAGCAAGCTGAGTGTCAGCATTCATCTCTCTCTGCTTCCTGACAGCAGACACAATGTGACCAGCCACCCTATGCTCCTGTCACACCTTTCTGCCACTGTGGACTGAACCCTCAAGTTGTAAGTCACACGAAACCATCTTTTAAGGTGCTCCTGCCAGGTGTTTTGTCATAGTGGTAAAAAGAGTGACTAATACAGCCGCTAAACAAGAAAAAGGTGATAGATTCAAAGCAGCAACAGCCATGGTGCAGCGCACAGAAAATCAGTAGACAGCTGCCTACCTATTACCATGTAAAGCTGACAATTCCCAGAATGCCCACCAACATTTCAAATGTGGAGAAAAGGAAACTAGAGATAGCTTTATTTTTTTGTTTTCATTAAGAGGAAAGAGAAACAGCAGCTGAGAAAGAAGAGATGGAAGTTGAGCAAGGAGGGTGAGTGGCTAGGATGAAACTGAAGATTATGGGGCAACACTAAATGCTAAATTTGAGAACCAAGGAGTGGCCTGAGTCCAGAATGAATTATAGACCTCCAATTAGTTGATGGGAAGCTCTCAAAGACAGCCAAAAAAAAAAAAAATCAAAGCAGAGCCCTGGAAGCATCTAATGTAATGATCTCAGCTTATCTCACCTCCCACCATTCCCTCAAGTTAGAGAAAACTGGCTGGAACTTGTTTTATGTTCAGTTGAAATCACCCACACTGGGCAGATCTGCCCAAACGTGAGAAAGACAAAAAGCAACCACTTAGCAACTATATAAACACAGGGAACTAGGTAACACAAAGGCATAAATGGGCCAAAGCCGGAGACATTCCTAAGAAATAGTATTGGTTTTTTAATAAGAAATGTTGTGTGCGGGGTATTTTTGTGAAGAGATACTGAATAGGGAGCTTATATAAGCTAGTCAAGCACCCTAAGGAATCAGGAAGGTAGGAAGTGCTTTGTTTTGTTATCATTTTAACATTAGAGACAGGGTCTCTCTAAGCTGTCCAGGCTGGCTTTCAACTTGAGACTCTCCTTGCCTTAGTCTTCAGAGTAGCTGAGATCACAGGCCAATGATACTAGGCATGGAGATCTTTCTTCTATTTATGTTTCCTTTTTGGGTCCTGGGTAATGATTTAAATCCCAACATTTCACTAACTGTACTTTCACAGGTTAAAGTTTGCTGACCACTATATTAGAAGATTCAGTATTTTTAGGATGGTAATTTTCATAAATTGACCTAAAAAGTCAAAGCAGTAAATATATATACGTATCTCATATTCAATGATTTTCTTACAAAAATACACATAATGATTCTAGATGTTTCTATAAAAATATAAAGGATCTAGAGTTGGTCCTTCTCAGTAAAGAACAAAGCGGAAGGACTTTTCCTAACTGGTAAGTATAAAGAAAGTAACGTCAGAATCCAGATGCTA